CTGAAGAGCGGTATCCTACTAATGACGATCGTCTTCATTCCCACCGCCTTGGGCACGCTGACCTTGCGCTCCCCGCCACCGCAGCGAGCATCTCCTTACAGGTGACAGGACAGAATATTTTTGTCCTACTTCCAGATGACTTAAATTAGCACGTTGAGAGTACATGTCTTTAATCGCAACAAAATTGTTCCATGAAACTTCTGTTGGAGATGAAATAATATATTTCAATTGCACAGAGAGTTTTTAGTATTTTTATAATAATTTCCAGTTTTAAATGTATTCAATATACCGATGGATCATGTAATATCGTCTTCGTTAACACAGATTGCTTCTGCCGACCGACGAGGACAATGAATTGGGCATCAGAATATCTTCGGATAGAGAATCAGAGTCAGAGCGACAGAGTAACGGCGTGGACAACGCCGGCTACGAGAACAGTGACAAACGTGATAGAAATGCCGTGCCTCTGTTCAGCGAGGTAAACAGTATCTATGCGTATCAGGAACCGGATGAAGATGTGGAGCTTTTCATCAATCCGATCGTGCAATCGGACGACAAGTGGAAGCAGGAATTCCGCGTGGTTCGCTACTTCCGATTCTGGGCAGCCGCGGTGACGTGGATCGGCATGAAAGCCGGTTCGCTCTACTTCTGGATCCTGGTACCCGCTGTATTCCTGCAACGAACCACGGAGTCGTTCGTTTATTACTCGGACGATTGGGTGACGTTATTGGTAATCGCCGGCTTCGGCTCTTTCGTCCCCAGTATCGCCAGCTGTTGGTCCATCACAACCACTGCGCAGTACAGAAGGATATATTTCGGGAGCGCTTGTTGGCTCGGCAGTATTATTTTGTTAGGTACATTTCAAGTATATCCGTATTATCTCTCGCGCACACATTTTTCCAACATTATCTGATAGTATAAAATCATTTATTCTCTTATATAATATTAATTACTTATTAATAATGCACAATTATATTTTTTAACACGAAATAAGCGACATTTTGTTACAAAGCAATTTTTACCAATATCTTATTTGTAGGTTTATCTTATACGAATAACTATTACTGGTTTCTGATATGCTCGCTACTTGGCGGAATTAGCATCAACAGTTTGCTCACTTGCCAGGACTTAACATTGTGCGACGTGCTGGGAAATCAATTCGCGCATCGCTCGCATAAGTTGTTCTCCACCTTAGTCGGACTGGGCGTGCTGACCTTCTGCTTCGTGCATAGTGCGTATTTTGTGTAACATCGAGAAATTTATTGTCTTCTTTTTTTTACAAGAAATTTTACAGAGATATTTCTTAGATTTGGTACGCAACGCGCATAGAATACGACGATAATGAGAGAGAAAAACTCGGACTTTGATTTTTCGATTTATCCGTTAATTTGGCATAATATAATTACAGGTGAGAATGTATGCCTTCGAGCGGTTGCGTTGCTGCAGTTTCTCGGCGGATGTTATTGGACCGTACCGCCCGTTTGGGAAATCGTACAAGAGCGGAGGCTCAGAAACGGTTAATCCCGTTACAAAGAAAATCACGAGTCATGCTTTACGTTCCGCCATATAGAAATATTTACAAGGCGTTGATATCGATGATGAAAGTCACAGTGTGATTGATTCCTTATAATGTTTTTAAATAGTAAAAAATACTCTCTTATAGGATAATCTTAAGAATAGATGTGCGCTCCGTACAATGCAAATTGTGTAATTGTGAAATGATTATTTAACTTAGAGATGAGGAGCGAGATAGAACAAATTGTTTTTAAATTATACAATTGTATACGTGTGATCGCAATAAAGTGTCTTTGGAGAATCTTTATTAAAATATTCTTTTCAATCGCTTCGAATATTAACAATGCACATTACGGTATTATCACACTGACTCCCCTTGCATGCTCTTATTGATAAATTTATGCTATCATTTTTATTTATCCTGCAAATCTTTATATTTGGTAAGAATACATGCATCCGATCATATTCTCCGCATTTAAGCGCCAGTTATATATTACGGAGCGCGATGCTCTAATATAACTGCCATTTATTAAAAGATAGAATTATATCACAAGAGATAAACGCAAGATAAAAACGGAATCCCATGAAATCTTGCACACACACACCATCTTCCTTAAAAAGTAAATATAAAAAACTCGATACTCTTAAAATTTATACGCGCATTTACCGATTACAGTTTAACTGATAACAATCAGGTAATAACTAAATAGGATAAAGTGATGAAAATGAAGATTGCGCTTATACTTTCTTTCTCTCGCGTATAATAAAGATATGCCGTATATGTAATAATTTCCTAATTTATTACGTATAATTTCATAATAATTATCTAATTTATTGCATTTATAAAATTGCATTTATTCACGCGAGATCTATGTAATACTATTTTATTCTAAGATATGTTAAAATTATATAATTTTAAAATCAACAATTATTAGAATCCTTTTAAATACTTGCATAACAAAACTGTTGTTATCTAAAGGATCCTCCGAGTCTTTTTTATACTTGCATATTCTATTCATGATTTGATTATCACCTTTTCATCATTGCCAGTTGCTTAAACTACTCTCATATGCCCTTTTTTAGGGACACATACGCACACGTATCAAATAGAGAGATATACAATAATTTAGTTAAAACTATACCTAAAAATTTTTTTATATATTCATAAAGACATTTATCTTCCAGGATTATCGCGATAAGTTTATTCATTGCAATCGAAAAATGTCAGAGATCGATAATATTTCAAGGAAAAGCTAAATTTTTGATTAAAAATTCAGCATAAAAATTTCATTGTTATAGAATTCCAGTCTCATATATAAGCATTATACAGAATGTTAAAAAAAGAAGTGCTTAAAGAGCAAATAGTAATAGACCTATTAAATTAAAAACAAAATGTGTAATCAACATAGATAGAAAATCTAATCTGACCAGAGATATAAGTTTTTCTATCTAAATCCGAAATATTTTTTTAATATACATATTCATTGCAATACTGCCGTACTTCGCTACATCAATGGATATATATATATATGTAGTATCCAATATGTTTTTTACAAGACTATCTTAGTAATTATTTATGATAGCATTTCTCTCTTTCTCCATAGAGACTTAAAAAATTTTTCGAAATGAAAATTATACAAGATGAAAGTACCACAGATTCATTCATAGAAAGAAGACAGTCTATAAGCAAGTGATAGAGACAATCGTAAAATTCTATTTCAAACCTGGGCAGTTGAAAGTGAGGAACGTTGCGCAAGAACCTTAGGTTTAACCTAATTCCGGGTCCTTATCTATCGCTGTGCTAGGTCCGGGATTGTCGCGCGATTTTGACAAGAAGCCGTTGGCTGTTCGATTCGGATGCGACTTCCAACTTATTGGTCGCGGATGATTCAACTCATCGTATTCCGACTCGTTGTTCTGCTTGATCTCATCATAGACATGTTCGATTTTCTTGCCGTCCATCTCATCGATGCTGTGATAAACATTCAAGTTTGGATTTCCCATATCAGCGTCCTTGTTCTTGAGGTCATAGTGCAGTCCGTACGCTCCTGAGCAACAATACAAAGTTATTCGTACACTTGCATAAAATTTTACTTATCTCGACGTTAATAAACGTGCGATACCTTTGCAATCGTCCTCGTCGTCAGTGCAATTACCTAGGCCGAGTTTAGCCTTCTCGGTATTTATATTCTTATGTAGGAGATTATTTCGGAATTGGAAGTTGTTTAGCAAGGTGGTAGTGCCGTCATCAAATTTCGAGGAACCTTGATACGCGTACACAGGATTGTCGAATTGATTTCGTTCTATGAAAAAGAGAGCGAGACTTTATACTTTCATTGTTCAAAGAGAGTTTGAGTTCTTTTCAACAATAAAAATCTTTATACAGAAGGTAAAATAAATTACCTGGCGGAGGTACAGGCTCGGCTATATATTGCACTTGAGCTATTTCATTCTTGAGATCAGCTACTCTGTGACGATGATACATCCACCCGGTCAATGAAATGCCAATCACAATGATGGCCGCAAATACGACCGCCACAATGTGTCCGTATCCTCCCTCTTCCTCCTTCTCCTGAACATTACGGGAGAATAACTGCTCGTTGCAATTTTCACCTAAAAATATCATTCGTCAATTTTACTGTAATTTGTTAAAACCTTAATATTCTTTACGTATATAGAGAGTTAATCTCTCGAATATACTTTATATATACCTGTATATCCATGCCTACAGATACAACCCTCGGCCGGATGGCACATGAAGAAGTCGTTTTTACATTCGCAAGGTTCCATACAATGGTCACCGTAATATCCTTCAGGACAAACTGAAATCGACAAGCGATTATACAATTTTTGATAAATATAATTCAACATATATTCTTCTTTAGTGCTACATCCGCTATAATTTTCTAAACTTACTCTCGGTACATGCAGTTCCGGTCCATCCCGGCGCACATCGACAATGGCCATCGTTGGATCGGCATTTTCCGCCGTTCTGACATTTACAATGCTGTGTGCAATTTACGCCGTATGTGCCATCCACGCAAGGTGTCTGACAGTACTGGCCTTGCCAGCCGGGTCGACACTGGCATGCACCTGAATTGGAAAAAAATGCTTCGATCAAGATCTTCCAAATAGATGTCCGGTCAGATAGACGTTTTCAAAAGTTCAAGAAGGATCTTTGACTTGCCTGTTACATGGTGACATTCTCCGCCGTTCTTACAATGACAATGATTCGCGCAATTTAGTCCGTAACGATTCGGGGGACACGGATGTTCGCAAGTCAGACCCAGGTATCCAGGACGGCAGACATATTCGCCGGTTACGTGATCGCAAGTCATGTTTCCTAAAGAAGAAAACAATAATGAGTTTATTATGTAATAAAAGGATATACATAAAAATATTTTATATTTCTTATATTCGTTTTTCTAATTTTTAACGCATGGTATTCTCTCATTTTATTTTCATATTTATTATCCGTTGTTCATTTTTGCCGTCAAATGTATATAAAATAGATAAAACAATGATTAATCGAAATACTCACTAAAATGCATAATGAGATAAAAACTGTCGGTGATAAAAAACGAGGAATAAAGTTTATGATTATTACATCATTACGTCAGCGTTTGCGCAATTAGCGGTTAAATTGTTTCTCCGCTTCGAATTTTTCTATAGCTGTACCACAAAGTACGTAAGATATAATCTACAACCAAGCATGTTATCTACATCTCCGGATATGTAAATAAGTGCCATTATAAAAATAAATCTTATAATTTTACTTTATTCGACTCATATTCTCTAATAGTGCGATACTATATTGTGGCGAGATGATTAAACCTAAAGATATCTTTCATGGAAGCGATTGACTGAGTGTTTCGTGACTGAGTTGTTTTATGCATTATAAAAGGAGATTATTAGACTATGTGTACACTATACATAATTATGTAAAAACTATTTACATTCAAAAAATTAATGTGTTAAATGTAAGACGATCCGCTATGAGGTGTGCGATAACACAAACCATTTATTTTATGTTCTCTATAAAACACAGTTAATTGTTTAAACACAATCATGCAAATTTAATCTGTTATATATAGTTAAAGTTACTTGAACGAGTTGTCACACATGCAAGAGAGATGAAATCTGTGAAATGTAAAAATCCCTACCGTTCATCTTTTCCGGGCATTTCTCTTTGCATCCCATTCCGTACCATCCTTCTTTGCAGGGTCGCGAGCAATCGGGGCCCTCCCAGCCCCTGGCGCAGACACAACTTCCGGTCGTGGGATCACACGAACTATTATTCATGCATTCGCAATGCGAGTGACAATCCTTGCCGTAAAGACCCTCCAGGCATTTTGTTTCGCATCGAATCCCTGTTTTAATGTTAAAGCAAAACCCGGCTCGAAAAACGAGATTTCTTGGCTTGCTGCATCAAGCAGCTGCTTTTTATGTTTTGTCGCATTTGCCATTTATTATTTCTTTTTCTTTATACTATTTTTTTCTAGACCGAGATAATGAACGCGATGCAGCTACACAAAACGTTTTGCGTCACAAAACCATCTTTTCCGTAATCGCCTTTAAATAATTTCTTGATTCGATAACGACAAATGATCATCGTGTCTCGATGATTGTATATATACATAATCGAACGCGATATATAACAAACCTCGCCAGTCTGCCTTGCAGTTGCAATGCCCGGTGATGGAGTCACAGTCCATAGTATTCTCCTCCACACAGTCGCAAATCTGATTGCATCCGTTCCCGAAGAAGCCCTTTTTACAACGATCCTGGCACAGCGTGCCGGTGAAACCAGCCGCACACGTGCACGTGCCTGCGTGTGTATAGATAAAATAACGCGTGTTCTCACAGTGCGAGTGCAGGGAAAGGATTTAGGAGTCTATATCTCATACGCGCACAATTTACAATGTATACATTTCTTTAAAACGATATGAAACTTTATCGCGTTAATAGTCAAGAACGGGAAAGAATCGCCACACAACTACCTTACCATTTTGCGGATTGCAGGCCGCATTATTGAAACACTTGCATTTGCTCTCGCAGTCCTTGCCGTAAGACTTGTCGTCGCATGGACGATCGCACAGTACACCGACCCATCCTGGCAAAACGTCATACAGATACGTGTAATTTACTGCGTACTTACCGATGTCGAATAATATCTTCTTCATCGGAAATATATTGAGAGACTTTAATAGAGAAATGATTCTATGAAGGACATGACTATCACAAATTCTACAGACAAGCTTTCTACGACAAGATGGAAAAAATATGAAACACGTCAAACAAAGTAGATCGTCTAATGCATGCAAAATATTATGCAAAGTGATTGTGAGATAATATTGACGAGACTTTCAAAGGAACGATAAAAATGATCAGATATGTAGATTAACACTTTTTCTCTGATAAATCTCTCTTTCCTCTAACAGGTCTTCCAAGCGAGATTTTATAACACACGGCTTGGATTATAGTCGCGCCGAAATTACAAATTGCCCTTACCGGCCGTACAATTGCACCGCCCATTCTCGGGAGAGCAGGTAGCTCCGTTCTTGCAGGCACACATCTGCGCGCAATCCTCGCCGAAGGTGTTCTCTGGACACAGCTCGCCGCAATCCTTGCCGCGGTATCCGGCCGCGCAGATGCAAGTGCCGTCGATGGGCGAACATTGCGCGTTATTCTTGCAGTTGCAGTGATTCTGGCAGTCCTTGCCATACATGTAAAAGGGACACGGTCTGGAGCAAGTCTCGCCGTCCCATCCCACCTTACACGAGCATTGCCCGGTCCACGGATGGCACAATTTTGTATTGTCGTCCTCGCATTCGCAAACCTTTCAATTTGGCTCGATTTAAAACATCGAAACATTGTAAAAGTTTTAAACGGAATATTTTATAAGAAACAGAAACTCTCACCTTTGCGCAATTGCGCCCGTAGAAACCATCGTCGCAAGCACGTTGACCGCACCTTTCACCTATCCAGCCCGAACCGCATATGCAGGTGCCGTTACTAGGATTGCAGGCAGCATTGTTTTCGCAGGTGCAATTATTTGTGCAATTCAGTCCGAACGTACCCGCGGGACAGATCTTCAGACACTATTTTCCGTGCGTCAAGGAGAAAAGAGAGACAATATTAATCGCCCGATTTAATATCGCGTTACGATATAATTAATCGGATATTTACCTTGTCATCGTAAAAGCCTGGCTTGCACTGGCACTCGCCCGTCACGTGATGACAACCGGCACCGTTATAGCAATCGCAGGTTTGAGAACAGTTCTTGCCCCAGAAACCTTCCGGACATCGATTCGCGCAAACCGAACCCTGCGTGACAGACACCATGTGAAATTATTTTACGCGGTACATTTCGTATTGAAAATCGCGCAAAATCTCGCATTACCGTCCAGCCAGAAGTACAGTAGCATTGACCGGTCAAGGGACTGCAAGTTCCACCGTTCTGACAACGGCACTCCGACTTGCATTCTTCGCCGTGTTTACCCACCGGACACAGGTCGTCGCATCTGTGCAACACATTAGTCATTAGCGATCATTAGCGATCGGCGTGCGGACTATGTATCATTTCAAAATAATTTTATCTCAGTTCACTGAAGAATATTTACTTTCTTCTTTATTCCATTTTAGGATAAATTATTCCAAAATTGTAGTATTTGTTAATCCTTTTTTACTTGAAGATAAAGAAATCTTTTTCTTTATCTTATAGATAAACAATATTTTTTTCAAGAATCTTCATAATCACATTTTTCTGAGAAGTATGAAAAAGAAGGTCAGCCAGATATGATTATGTGAGTAGATAAGAGATCCGATAAACGCCGAGAAATTCTCCGAGAAATTACAAGGTAGTTTTACTGTCGAAAACAAAGATCGAGAAGAAATACTCACAGCGGCCCGGTGTAACCGGAGGCACAGTGACACTCGCCAGAAATGTGATGGCACCTACCACCGTTTTT